GTCCTACCAAGAGCATTAACTACATTCAGTAATGAGTAAAGAGAACTGTTCCTTTGCATTTATACATGATTGCAGGCAATGTGCACAGCCTGCAATAGAAATGTAAATACCTTGCCCATAATTGCATTTATCTGAAGTAAATCTAGTTTGTTCATAAATCCAAACTTCTGGTGTTAATAAGAGTACAGAAGATGTTTCAAGTAAGTTGTACAATTACAGAAGCAATTTCTAAAGCAGTTGTCAGCTGTGGTCTTCAGAAAGCAACTCTCAAATTTACACATGCATTACGTTTATTATATTCTACTCTTTGGAGGGAAAAACTTGACTAAATGACCCAGTTCAAACAAAGGCTATCTTTGTTCAGTAATCTCATATGTATTGCTCACTATCTTCATCAAGCTTTGTACAGAAATGCTATTCCTTTACCTGTAAGGCTTTCAAGTGCTCTTCAGAGCAGTTTTCAAGGTCCGTGATCCTTACAGCAACTTGCCTGTCTGTAGGTGTATGCCGTGCAAGGTAGACTGAAGTTAAATTGTTGAACCTTCTTCCTGAAACCAGAAATGACTACCTTAACATTGGAAAGCATAATATGCCCATCAGGTGGTTTTCTTCATTGATAGCAGCATCCTTTTGTTTCAGAATGCCAAGACCTTAAGTAATTGCAGCAAATTAGTTGAAGCATGACTCTGCTATTTTGAGAACAACTAAAATTGTTTGAACATACGTCAACATCAATTATATATCCAAATGAGGAACACTTAGTATGCATATTCACATAAACATATGCATGCAGAGTAGGATCTAAGGCAGCCATCTTTAGAACAACCAACTTGAGTAGCCATATTACAAGATTATGATGTTACTTAAGGCTGTATTGTTACATACCACAGATTTTGAAAACTGACAAGTACATGCACAAACATCAAGAGACTTTCAGGTAATTGTTGATTTGTCTTAGATCTTGAAATAAGAGATTACTAAGATATAAGAATTGCTCTGCACTTTTCTCAACTAAAGAGACACAGGAATAGTCCTTAATTTCCAAACTTAATATTTACTTCAGTTAGCAATAAACTATTGATAGTGGGAAGTTTATTATTAAATATTTTAAGGTCCATTTATGTTACCTATTTCCAGCTGGAGTTCATAATGAGAGACATTAGAAGAGCAAAATACCATTTCATTCTTCCCTGTAGATGGGGGAATCCAGGCTAGATCAGAATCAGCCTAAGAGAGAGAAGAAAGAGTTCTCAAAATAACTATGTAATTTTTAATCATTTATATTTTTAAAACTAATATAAAAATATTATTAATGATAAAGTCCAATACTTAAATAGGAACATTCAAGCCGGTACTTTTACCATTATTAAGACTTAGTTTTATGAGTTACAAGTTTTGTGTGTGTGCGTGTTTGTTTTCAAACTGGCACAAGATTAACATTTAGATACCTATAGTCTTCTACCAAAGTGGAAGCCCCAAAGTACTCAGTTTATTTTTGTTGTCAACATTTCAAGAAGTACTTCCTAATTCAGCTATTTTCTAATACGCACCAGCTTTATATTTATCCTTGGGAGTTAGTTTCTGTTCTTACCAGGCATTCATGGATGCTGCTCTGTGATAGCTCTTCTGGTCTGATTGATTCAATTGGTGTACGCAGAATACAGGAGCAGTCCTTAAGAACAGAAACAGTGAATGTTTGTGGAGTTGCTGCAATTTATTAAATATGGCAGCACAAAAAATGTAAAAAAAGTAGGCCTTATAAGCAGCAGTTCAGAAAGTCTTCTGCTACAAGTCAATCAAGGGATAAAGAAACATCATAAAGCAGACATATATGGCAGACCTAAAGAGAAGAGACATTAAAGTCTCCTTCACCAAAAGCTGACACAATGAAGTTCAAACATCTCAGCACTGTGGAAATTCCCTCAGGCAAGACATTTCACCAGGGCTTTTCATATTAAGGTATAGCTGGGTAACAAGGTACATCAGCCAAAATTTTTAAAGACAAACTTACCAAACAAGACATGGAACCACTTTAGATCAGGGGAAAAGTCATACACACCCATTTATCCTAGAAGAAAAATATAATAGCAAAGTAAGAAGATACATAAACCTGTGATAAACTTAATTCTCCTTACTTAGAACTGTGAGGCATTCCTATCAGCTATCACACACAAAACCCCAGAACTCCAGCTTAGGGAAAGTCTGCTTCTATTTAAGTAGCATATCAATTTCAAACTCCACACTGAGGACTACATGTCAACTCAAGTGTTCCTTTTTAATTTATGGGTTTAGAAATTTTATTGCCAGTTCTGAATAAACAGTTTAATTGCAAGTTAACTGTACAAATGCAAAAAGTAAAAAAGAACAGGCTTATGAATCCTTGGCAGCTTGTAGGAAGAGAAATCATTATCTGTTGTTTTAAAGGAACACAGCTGTGCTAGGCAGATTTTGGCTTGGCTGTGTGCAGCTGAACTAGATCACAAAAAAAAAGTAAGGCAGAAGCAATTGCACTTTACATTTCACAAGTGAGGGAGGAAGTAGTATTGTAAGGGATTTTGGTTAAAAAAAAAAAAAAAAGAGAAGCAATTCCCTCACAGATCAGAGGAGCATCTCTGAAAGTCCTCTAGCAAACTTAAGTTTATGTCTGATGATTTGGAGGCTTAGGCAGTGGGAGAGATGTCTAGTAAGGGTATCAAAACTTCTGTAAGTACAGAATGGGACTATTTTACCTTAGCTAAAAGCAAGTCTTCAACAGTAGAATCGTTAAGGTTGGAAAAAACCTTGAAGATAGAGTCCAACCATTAACCTAACACTGCCGGGCCCACCATTAAACCATGCCCCTAAGCACCACATCTACATGTTTTTTGAACACTACCAGGGTGGTGACTCCACCACTTCTCTGGGCAGCCCGTTCCAATGCTTGACAACCCTTTCAATGAAGAAAATTTCCCTAACATCCAATCTAAACCTTACTTGGTGCAACTTGAGGCCAGTTACTGTCATCTTATCTCTTGTTACATGAGAGAAGAGGCCTGCTCCCACCTCACTATAATCTCCTTTCAGGTAATTGTAGAGGAAGAAGGCCCCCCTGAGCCTCCTCTTCTCCAGGCTAAACTCCTTCAGCAACTCCTTGTAATACTTGTGCTCCAGACTTTTCACCAGCTCTGCTGCCCTCCTGTGAACACCCACCAGTGCCTCAATGTCTTTCTTCTTGTGTGGGGCTTAAAACTGAATGCAGAGCTTGAGATGCAAACTGGCCTCACTAGTGAGTACAGAGGGATAATTACTTCCCAGGCCCTGCTGGCCACATTACTGCTGATACAAACCAGGATGCCACTGGCCTTGGCCACCTGGGCACACTGCTGCTCATGTTCAGCCAGCTGTCAAACAGCAACCCCGGGTCCTTTCCAGCCACCATGAGGAATCCTACTTGGTGACTGATAAAGTCAGATACAGGAAATAGTTCCATGTTAATATGCAATTTTGGTATGAAAGTTAACTTATAAAAGCTGAAGTATTATACCAGAAGCTGATAATTTTGTTTAAGGAGCTAAACTTGAGTATATCCTGTATTTAAATTATGTATGCTACTTAATCAAGGGAACACTCTTGAAAAGCTAACAAGCCCCCACCACTCCATTCACTGCCAAATAGCCAAGCCATTCCAGCAACATTTTTACCCTGAAGATCTGCTTGGAGATTGATTGTAATTCCTTATTAGAGATACCAAATACAGACAAAAGTCGATCCCTGCCAGGTATTAGGCACCTTCATAGGATCTGCACTTGATTTACAACTTCACTAAGGAAGTTTGTAGCAGAGTAGGAAAAAAAAAAAAAAAAAAGATTGCAGGTGCTTTAGGATACTGCCTACCAATGTAATGGCTACAGCATCCTTCTACCTGGAAAGAAGATGTCTCATTCTGCTACACAGGACAATTTATTCTGCTGCTTGCAATATGAAACCACAAAAGCTACCCTGAAGAATAAATTCTTAATAACTATGATATACCAAAGTCAAATTATTGTAGACTTACTTCAAGGATGTACAGCCAGCCAACAGAAACATCAGTGATGCATATTTATTCAAATAGCACTACAATTTTAATTTTTTTTTCTTATGTAGCTTGACATAGTTTCCATTTTTCAATACGGCTTTGGATCATGTCCCCACATAAACTTTTTCGGTCCTCACGTTTCTCCTTCTGTATCGCAGGCTTTTTTTTTTTTTTTTTTTTTTTTTTTTTTTTTTTTTTTTTTTTTTTTTTTTTTTTTTTTTTTTTTTTTTTTTTTTTTTTTTTTGTACTGTAGATAGTGACAGTGTTGTACATGTAAAATGATACAATCATCACACTTTGGCCAAAGCTTCAGCCAGTGAACAGTGCAGGGTAGAAAAAGCCACAGAAACTGTGGGTGTGAGCTAGGGGAGTGTGACGCTCCGGAGCCGAAGCCCCGGCACCGGGAACGCGCGTTACTGGGTTCTGCTGACGCCGAGCTGCTGCTCCTACTTCAGCGTTCGCAGTGACTGAGGCAGCTATCGGTCGTGTATCTGGAGTGAAATGATCCGTCCGTGACAAAGCACCGGAAAGTGCGGAAGGACGCCCCGCAGGCTCCCCCTCAGCTCCTCACTCGCTCCGTTAAATTCGTACCTCGCCTTCCTCGCTGGGCCCCCGCCTCCCTCTGGCCTCCCACAGTGGCCGGGACAGGGCTCCGCTCCCCGCAGCCGCCTCCCGAGCTCGGCGTGCGTCGCTGCTTCTCCCCGGCCCGCCCGGCTGCCCCCGACGCGGGGCAGAGGGCGCGGCCAGCGCGGAGCCTCGGCACAGCCGAGCAGCCTCACAGGGCGGCAGCGCCCGTTCCTGCCCGCCGCCGCCGGAGTCAGGGCCGGGGGCCGGCCCCGCCGCCGCGCCTCCCGCCAGAACCCCGCCCCGCTCCCGGCCCCGCCGGGCTCAGCGTCGGGGGCCGCCCGCACCACGCGGCCCGGCGCATTGTGGGGCTCGTCACTGGCGGCGGCCCGCCGGGGGCTGTAGTTCTGGGCGGGAGCCGAGCGGAAGCCGTCGGGGCCCTTCCTCAGTCGCCGCTGTGTTGCATGCGGGGCTGCGGCGGGAAGAGCGGCGCCGGAGGGAGCGCAGCGTGGGCCGAGTAAGCGAGCACTCGGCGCCGGCCCGGCGCTGCTCTGCCGCCTCACGGGCGAGCGGCGCGCTCCGTGCCTCACACCCTGCAGGGGTTAACCCTCCCTCGTCTCGCCCGGGGCCGTTCCCGCCGGGCCGCGGCACCACCCGGGCTGGCAGGTACAGCGGGCCGCGCCGGGGGTGCGGCGGCTCTCCTGAGGCTGCTTGGGGTCGGAGCGCGGGGCCCGAGCGTGAGGCGTTGTGTGGGGCTGGCCCCCGGTCCCGGGCGGAGAAGGAATCCCGGCGCCTGCCCGGGTTAGCAGCTGACAGGGCTCTTTCGGCGGTGGCGATGCTTTAATGTAACGTAGCGCTGAGCTCCGTCTGTTCAGTGTATGCGGGGGCGGCGGTGCCCGCAGGCGGTGCCGGGGTGACCTTCAGCGGCCCGGGGTGCCTGTCACCGAGCGGGCTCCCTGGAGGGTCGGGTCACCGCGAACACGAGGCAGCCCTCCGTGACATCTTAGTTGTTGGCTTGCTTGTGTATGAAGACAAGGAAATTCTAGCTGCTAGCAACTTCTTAATCACATTGTTACATTTTAATCAGCTGATTAAACTGGAGTACCAGTATCTGTCAGTAAGTGTCATTTACTCTGTCGTCCATACTAGTGGAGAAATGTTACGTGGAGTGGCGTGCTCTTATTTTTATCTTTAATGCAATCTTCAGCTGTTGAATAGGTGCCTGTTTCTTGGTTATGTTTCACAATTACTGTTGACTGATTATGACAGTCTGATGCAGATATTTGATACACTAATAAATAACTTAAAGCAACATTAGAAAGCAACAGTCGATTTTAGGTTTGTTTTTGGATACTTGTGTTCTTTCAAAAGATGTAATTCTTAGTAAAAATAGCATAATTTCTTTTTAACACTGAAGCAAAATTGAAAAAAAATTATTTTCCAATACCTAAAATTTTTCCGCTCTAGTGGCAGTGTGATTGTTAGAGCTGTACCTGTTCATTGAATTTCTGTTATGAGTACCTGAAAATGTAGTTTGAAGAGCATTGGAAAACCACAGACTTTCCTGAGGGTGGTTTGCCTCTAATAGTAGGCTTCTGGAATTAATATTGTATAGTAGAAGTGCCGTCTTTCAGGAATGATAATTGTGATTTGTTGATTAGTTTTCCAAGAAGACACAAATAGAGCATTTTCACAGATATGGCTACAAAAAAAGAAGACATTATTTTTTCTGGTTTGATTGCTAATGATATTCTGGTGACTGAGTAATATAGATCAGTTTGGTTAATTCTAATACATAATTATAACTTAAAATGCTGAGCACTGGCTGGGATGTAGGTCAACGAACTGAAACTGTGCATCAACTGAAAGTGTTAGTGATTTCAGTTAAATGTTCATTTCTTCTGAAAAAAAATTGTGAGAAAGTATGCATACAGATAGTAGTGTTATGATTATGCATTTACATAAAAAATTTAGGAAATTATAAAACATAGTGGGACTTTAATGTAGATAACACTCATAGTTTCAGACTAAGGGAGACTTCAATTAGACATTTGCTGTTTTTACATTGTACTAAGGGTGACATAGACAACCTCCAAACATGTAGGGCTTAAATCTTAACTATCAAGCTGTGGTATTCAACAGTATGCATGTATACATGTACATAAAGCATATATACCTGTGTTTAACAGGTAGTGTTGCCACTTTGGAGACCATAAGCTGTTACAAGTGACAGACAAAGAGAATAAGTGAGCCTGGTTTGTCATAACTGTAGATAAAATAGGATGAGGAAATGTTGTGGCAGGCTTCATGATCTTGGAAAATGATGAATCGCAAGGTGTTCTCCATCTTCCCCTCTGAAGCCTTTCCCCCATCCCAGAAGAAAAACAATCCAAAAGATGAAGGGGCAGAGGGGGATATTTTGTTTGTTTTTTTACAGTTTCTTCTTACACCATTTTTTTATGATTGGAAGTCTGTTGCTTGTTTATTATCATTACAGTTGGTTTTAGGATATTGTTGGCATACTCTTTTAAATATTTTTTTCCTTACATGAGAGAAACACAAGCACTGTACAGATTTCTGTAGGGATAGTACTGGCTGAAAATAACAGGTGTTAGGCACACAGCAAATGCTCATTGTGATAGGCAAAGTTTGTGTTCATGTAGATTTGTTTTTCAGCTGATAATCCTTTGTCCTTCATCTCTTACTGGATGGTGTTGAAAAATTTGGCCTCTGCTTCTGAGCACTGGTCCCAGGAATGTTTTGGCAACAATTCAGTGTGGTCATGTTTGCTATAAGAATAGAACTGTTTCATTAACCTTGAAATGCAGAGTATGTTGATTGCTATTAGCTGGCTTGACAGCATTCCAGTTTTAGCAATGGAAAAAGTAGTGTTAATGACTTGATACAATTTTTTAAATTGCATGCTTACATGGCAGTAAAATTTGGCATCTGAGAATAATAATAATAACTCATTTACTTGGCTTGCTTTTGGAAAATGGATATTATCTTCTCTCTTAATCAAGTTAGAATCTTCTTTGTTGTTAGAATCTTCTTTGTTGTCAAAATTTGTGTTACTTGAGGCCTAATGTCTTGCATCCTGGAATTGTACAGTGGAACAGACCTAGTTTAGTCTTTCCAAGTACTTGTGAGGAGTACTTTGCTCTCAACAAATGAAAAATAGCAGGAATAACAGTTTATTTGTGTTGAAGTTGGGATATTGGCAATATAAATGCCAATATTTTGCATATATTTTTAACTTTGTGCACAAAGAAATAACACATACAGTTGTCTGTGGTTTCCAGTTGTAAAGCAGCTCCCTGACCTTTCTCATAATTCAAATTTGAATTAGTTTCTCTAGTGGTAGCATGTCTTCAGAACTATATTCTATCTTGAGGTGCCCCAACTCTTTCTGCATCGATCTGAAATTGCCCAAAGTAGTACTTAGACAACAATTTTCAGTGTTTTATAACTATATTATCTTTTTCTAAGATTTTAGTCAGTATTGCTTTTTCAAGTTAATCTTCACTAGGGTCTTCTGACTCACTGAAGGAAAAAAAATATAAAATCTCTTTAGAGCAACTTGCATTCTCTAGGGCAGATTCAGAAGGTGCAGGAATAGTTCTGACTTCTACAAGAAGTGTGCTATATGTAGCCCAGGTTTTAGCTCACTGTTTGGAGCCAAATGATAGCTGAAATGCGAGACACACATTGGAGAGTAAAATTTAATCTAGAGAATACAGAAACACTAAGATTGGGGTAGGTATGGATGTAAAATGTTGGCTGATATTTTCATCTATCATGAACTTCTTTGAAGAAAGCCTTCTGAGAGCACCACCCCTACATATGGGTTGTTCTCCAATATTTGAATTTCCCTTGTTTTTCCCATGCTCAATGAGCCTATTAGTAAAAGACATGTACATCAATGGGAAATTCACCTATGAGAGAGTAGGGGGATAAAACTGATAAGATGTAGATCAGTGTAGAATAAATATAGTAAATGGACAGTGGAAATAATCTTTATAAATAAAGATTAAAATCAACACCTGAGCAACTTTTCTAGCTTCTCTTTTGGACATGTCTTTCTGCATGATTTAACAATTTTAATTTCTAGTCCATCTTTTTATAGCATGGTCATATATTTTAAAGCCACGTTATAAATTTTATGGGGTTTATTTAAATGTATTTAATCATAGTTTTGACTTGCAGGAGGAATCTGTAGTTAGGAAATTGTTTTATAGCTGCAGTGTAGAAGGGTCATGGAGTCACTTTCAGGGTGGAACTACCCAGTGCTTGAATTTCTACAGAAGTTGCCCCATGGTACAGGAAACTAAAGCTATGAGAAGCACTGGAAATGCAAGCATTAACTTTTATGGTGTTTGCTTATGTAGTAAACTTCTCAAAGGTTTTATAAATGAGTTTGCTCTTTCAATTCAATACCTTGGTGTTTGCCTGGTGCTCTAGGAAACATTTAGCCAAATCATCATTCCCCCCTCACCTCCCCCCCTTTGGCTGAACTGAGATTGGCTTGCTACAAATAGTGTTTCTGCTTTGCACTTAGAAGAGGGATTAAAACCAATCTTGAGAAGTAGCAGCATTCATTTTTAGTTTTAAAACTCAAAGGAAAAAGATTGAGTTAGAGTTGTGAAGAAACTGTCCTATGCTGTTGAGCTTCCTCTAGCTGTATAGTGACTCTTCTTATTACAAAATAAAGTCATTTGCATGTGTGGATCTACAGCAGTCTTCTTAAATGGCTTTTATTATTCTGTATTAAGTTGTTTTAGAGAAGGGGGTATATATAGTTCAAGCTTTTCAGCAATCCATTTAAAAAACAGCCTCTAGAAAATTTTTTAAAAGTGCTAGAAGCAGCTATACATTCAGATAGAAAATATTTCTGAAATCTCAAGTGTTTAATAGGCATAATAATTACAACTGATAAACAGGCTACATGCATAAAGACATGAATGACAAAACAAGAAGATAATGCACACAAGTATGAGCTGACCTTAATGGAGGAAAGTTCTTTTTTTATCTCCTGCCAAAGTCTACGAGCAGATGAACTGGCAGGCTCCAGACTTGCTTTAAAAAGCTCCTGCACTGTCCATTTTAATCTTGTCAAATAAGAGGTTGCTACAGACAGCAAAACAAACCTAATTGTTGTGCTTGATGATTGAAGATATTGAGGAAACTGTTAAGAGCAAATTTTAAATTAATGAAGGCTTTTAAGAGAATTTTATGTTAACTGAACGCCAGGGGAGGGAAAAGGAGACTGGTTTTCTCTTCAGTTTTATATCTTTCTGTCATCTAGAACTACTGTTTTATATGGAAGGTGATTAATCAGTCTTGGCAAAGGAAAAGTTTATTTTTACTTCATGAAACTCTTCTGATAGCTTATCTGAATCAGTGACAGTAGTTTAATTTTCTGGTTTACCTGAGTCCCTGCTGAAGAGAAAACACAAATCTTATCACAGTCCACAAAGTAAATTTTTGAGAGGTCCAATTTTTAATTAACAGAGTTCTAAAGGGAAAGAGACTCAAAAAAAAATTATTGTGTTAAATTTTTTAACAATAGAAATGTTAAGGGTGATGTTTTTAAAATCCTGCCTTTAGAATCCATCACTTTAAACAAATGTAGTGGCCTGAAGAAAATCTCTGTTTAGTTGGAGCTGCTGTCTGTTAGCATAAAAAGGAAATGCCTTGTTTCAGTGCATGACCTGAACACACTAAATATTATATGAAGGAAGTTGAATAGTACAGACAAAGAGATATTTGACCAAGTCCATGTTTGAGGTGAGCTGTCTGCAGGGAGAAAACATATTTTAATGCTACCTTTTACATGTACTGTGTAAACTGGAAATAAAATGCTTTTTTGCCTTTTTTTCTTTTATAATTAGTTATAGTACAGAGGGGAGATTCAGACTGAAAGAGACAAAGTCACACCAATTTACCTGTCTCCCTTGAAAGAGTGAAATCTGTTAAACCTTGGCATTCTCTTTATTTTTAGGTGATGGGTGAGCTGAGAAACTGGTGAAGCTTCCATGAAATATTTCTACTGATCAGTAGCCCAGGTGAAATAGGCATGTCCTAAGATGGCAGTAGATCTGGAGTATGGACCAGCCTACAGAAGTGAGTTGATGCCAGATTTATGAGCCTCTGTGGCTTGATGGCTCTCACTTCCTCTGTCTCTAAACCAAAGCCATCTTTTTACCAAAGCAGTAAAGGAATGGTGCACAGCTTGATTAGAGAATGCTCTTCTTGAGGAAGTGAACTGTGAAGGAAGGACTCATGAGTTTTGATCCCAGGGGCTTGGAGTGCGTCCCTGGTAAGTTGAAGAGTTACTATGACAGATCTTGAATGTGTCTAACATGTCATACAACACCAACCTGAAGACAACCTTATGTTTCACATTCTTTGTGCTGCTTATGTGGTATTGTAGGGGAACAAAAACAGTGACATAAGACTCACTTGTAAAGTCACTGTGCACTGTGAAATACTGTTTATAAAATTCTTAGTGTCAATAGTCAACATTGGTGTTTTTTCCGTTGAAAGATACTGCAGATAGTATTCATCCTGAGTGGAAATCTTGCAAAAATAATCATTGCATACCATTGATATTTAACCAATTTAGTATTAATGTAGGTTTTTTTGCAATAATTGTGAAAAGATTAAGGAACACACACAGCATAGAAAGAGCTAAACTTTGATTGCAGGGGATTTAGTATCATGTTTCTCAGAGTGTGATCCCATAAGGATGATAATGAAATTTTATACTTGTTCCCTGATTTCAAAGCAGTATTCAGTCAATTTTGCTTATTTTAAGATTGTTTACATCTATGTTCATTATCAAATCAATGCATAAAACAGAAGAACAAGAAAAATGTGAATTTCCTTCAGAAAAGGGAAGTGTAACAACAATGAAAAGTCAATGAGACTTTAGGAAATCAATAGCTGGTAAAATGTAGCTCAATGAAGAGGAAAAGATAGAAATTCAAACTTAGTACATACATTATATTCAGGAAGTTGGAGGGACACAGTATGCCATCTTTTCAGGAAGTTTTGGGATCAGTTGCAGGTGAGGAACTTAAAAGTATGGCAGTATTAATCAAGCATTGATTCAGTAAGTATTCTGGTATTTTGTCTGGTACAGAATAGTTATTTCCAAATCTACTGAAGCATTTATGCAGTATTTTATAGTACATAAAAAGTGTTCTACTGTAGCAGCCCCATTAAATTTTACACATATTTAACAATGCACTATTACTGGCATTTACTCTCTTTCAGACGGCTGCTCCAATGAAGACCTTCCTGAGGTGGAGTTGGTGAGCATGCTGGAAGAACAGTTGCCAGATTACAAGTTACGAGTGGACTCTCTGTACCTGCATGAAAATCCGGACTGGATTCAGCCCATGGCTTGCCATGGCTGGCTGCCGGAGATGGCTTCTTCAGCTCGTGAGGAGGACTCCTTCCGTTACATGAGTGAGTCGGTATTTATTGCCCCACATATCAAAGACAAAAATTTAGATACACAGTTAATATTAGTATTAGGAAATGGTCAAATGTAGAAAACTTTGGACAGGTGGAAGAAAAGGCTGATTTCAGGGGATGCACTTGTGGTTCACGCTGCAATTCTAATAGCTGACTTAAAATGTTTAATTACTTCCTTGTCATCAGATTACACACTGAAGTAAGAATGGGAAGATGTGATAGTGAAAAAGAGGCAGGAACCTAGAATTGTGCTAGAAGAGGTATGAGTGTGAAGCAGTTCTGTTTTCAGGAATGTTGACGGCGCTGTGGTTGATTTGGTGGTGTTCCCCTGATGTTTTGTGTCAGTAATGTTTATGAAGTGCTGTCAGTGTTTTTTCCAGAGACAGAAAAGGAATGAATGGCAGATAGGTATTAGATCAAAGCTGATCACTGCCTTCCAGTTCTGAAAATACTAAGTAAATTACTTCTAAACCTATCAAACGATAAAGAAGAAAATGGACAGCTTAAGTCACATGAAGAAATAGAAAGTTGCAAAAATAATTGAGCACACAATTGCCTATAGTTTTTAAGTGTTTTCTTGAGAGGAGAATGCATTGTAATGTCTTCAGAGAAATGAGGAAGTCCTGTTTCTGCCATATATTGGAATTACTGGAACAAACCACAGCGAAGAGGGAACTTGTTTTTTAATACAATCTGTAATGATTACCTCTTCCTTGTAAATACCACCTCGAAAAGGGGTTTTTTTTTGTCATTGTTCTTCGTAGTTTAAGCTTCCCAAGGATGCATAGCAAAGGAATAACAAAGATTAAAATATCACCTCCCAAGAATGCAGTACTCAACAATTTAGAGTGACCTTGTTATGAATGGAACTTGAAGGCTTTGAACTCTTTTAACTGTGGAAAGTAATTGGAAAGCCACTTAATGTTTATTGCTCAGACTGTTTCTGATACTAATATTGCATGCATAAATGACTTTACAGTTGAGGGAATGCTTTTGTAGTTCACTGGAAGCAGGTGTGTGGTTGGTGGGGCGTGTACCAGTCTCTAAGAGTTAATTATAAAGAGGTGGGATGAGAGTCTATCCATGCGTGACATGAAGCGCGGCTCTGCCGAAGCTTTTGGCTCCGCACCTCACCTGCGTGATGAAACGCAGGGCTCCAGAGGACCTTCAGTCAGTGTGAGCTTGCATTTCCAGCCTGCAGGGAGAGGGAGGGGTTTTATCAACAAAGTTTTCATGAAGCCTGTTGTGTATTATTTGGCGGTAAAGGCACTGGAGAAAGGGTCATCTTCCTATTTCTCCCAGAGAGAAGTTCTTTTCAAATAGAGAAGGTGTCCTGTGAAAACCGGGAGCTGCTTGTAGGAGTTTTTAAAGTAATTTTTTAAGCTAAATGTTTTCTTGTGACAATGACTGAAATTAATGAAGAGATATTAAATTAATACTTGAATTGAATTAAAATATAGCTGTTAAGCATAACATATAAAACTAATTCTTGTATCATTTAAGAACGCTTTTGTAGCTGCTGAGTCATGTAAACTCAAGATAAATATGGTTAATGTTTCTCCTAGAAATTGTCCAGACATTGGTTACACTTGAAATTACAGTAGCTTTTTTGAGACTAGTAACCTACCAGGACATACTGGAAGAGTCTCAGACAAACACAAATACAGATAAAATTCTAGTTATAATTATTGTTGAATAGCTTGTTAGGTGAAATTTTAATCTTTGTTGTGTGGAATTGGGAGTAAATGTGACATGAAGCATGACATGGGGTTTTAGCTGTGTATCTTCCTCCCCCTGTATATGTATGGAAACATTTTTATAACTTTTTCCAAGAGAGAATGCTGAATATATGGTTTGAGTGACTTTGTAGTTGAGAAAAAAGCCACAAAACAACACAGTAGTTATTGCACTTGAGCTCCTCCTTTTTATGGCTGCTGCTGCCTATAAGAAGGTCTGTCCCATAAGGTCTGTCAGTTGGGTTCACACTGGCAGTGTTTTCAGTGAGGTGGAAGAATATTTTCTGCTTCAACCGTGCTAGCATAAGAAATCCTGAATTACAAAAGACCTCTCTTTGGAGCTACTTTGTATGTGTGAATAAAGGGTCATGGCACAATATAACAAGAATTTTAACCAAAATGAAGAGTTGCTTGCAACTTTCACTTGGCAAGGTGAGTATTGCATGTGCATGTGTTCTCAAGACAGAATTATAATAAACTGCATATAGTTTTGATCCTATACTGAGAGAAAATACAGTAATTTATATAGAGCTAAGTTTCAAAGCTGTTGGTTCTGTGATTTTAGTTATCAGAGTAAAGATATCTGCTCTTGATTTTAGGAACTTACCTACCTGAGTAACCTTGAAATTAGCATGGAATTAGTGTAAATTTTTATTAAAGGCACTGGATAAAAACTTATAACTTGAAATTAGCTGCTAGGAACAGTTACCACAGGAGAGCTGGCTATAATATTCTGCCTGTAATGGCTGTATCTTAGTTATGTATGTGCAGTGAATTTTCCAAATATTATTAAGTTAGATGAGTTTGGAGTCCCCTTTTCAGCAGCTAGTATCAGCAACCAAGTAGTTCAGTAAAATTGTCCTCCAAATGCATTTTATGCTACGGATAGATACGTACTTTAAATTTAGTAGAGAGTTTCTATTTATTCCCTGCTTAGAAATACAGATAGTAAGTAACAGTGCTGTGAGTTCAAAGCTCCTGCGTGCTTAAACAGCATATGTTGGGTTTTTATGCCTACTGATCTACTTGATGAAAAGCACTTGGTTTGGTACTTTTAAGCTTTTAGAGAAACAGTAAAACTTTTCCTTCTGTGTTGTTCTTCCTGTTCTCTCTTTCAAAATGACAAAGAAGTTTCTTTTGTTACTAAAATGCAACTTTGATCTTAGTATAGCTGTAGTGTTATGCTTTAAAAGATTAATTGTGGCCATTATGTATGTAAAGGGTATAGACAGCTTATATAACATACGGAAATAAAGTTAGTGTGCACTTTAGCTTGGCACTTTACTATCTCATAACTAAGCTTGCAGTCCTCAACAAAACAAAGAAAAGAACTGATAATCGATATCACTGTGTATTCAGAGTAAGAATGTGATTTAACCAAGGTGAAAGAGTGAAGGAAATACTGAGATCAAACCTATAGTAATCTCATTTTGCAGTTCAGTGGTGATGGAATTAATTTTGAAACAGGTTAACTTAAATGTTCAGCTGAAGGAGGTACTTTTGTAATTCTTAAATTTATATTGCTGGCTTCTTCTCTTTAATGATCCTGATTTCATAAAGCAAAAACAGTAAATTGCTGTTGAGTTTAGCACAAACACTCATCATCTGATAGAGAGGTGTATAATTTTGCTTCAGAAGAAAATTACATTTAAATGGCTCCCTAAAAGGCCTTAGAAAGTGTTAATAGTGAAAAAACTATGTTTGCACATGCATTTATTTTTTGATTGTGGTAGATGCATGGCAGAAAATTACCTATTTCCTTACATGTTAATTCTTTCTCTTCTTTGTTCTCTTTTTCCCTTCCATATCTGTCATTATCTGTCACTCTAGCTCTTATTGAACTTCCTTCCTCCTCCTTGGATGGATCTCACAAATTTGCACAAGGTAATTAAGATGCCTTTGTTACTACCATCTTTTTATCAGGACATGAACAAGAGCAGACCAATGCTTTGCAGTTCTAGCACTGTGTTTTGTTCAGAGGTGTCACAAATTCTTCATGCTTTGCTTATTCCTCACTCAGTCCTGTTTTTCCAATCCTACTGTTTCTCAGTTTTTTAATAGTTTTACAAACTCTTCAAACATTGGAGTCACTTGATTACTAAGATAGCATTTACTGCTACATCTAAAACCCAGAAAAACATTATCTCATTTCTTCTTAATTGTTTCCAAGATGGTCAAACCCTTCATAAATGCATTTTCATGACTTGTCTCAGGGGTCTCCATACTTCCTGTGTACAGCTGTCACACAGCCTAGTGGGAATTTTGCTTCAGGGTTAAAATATGTGTTTAACTGTATTTGGATATGCTCCAATATACTCCTCCTCCTCTCCCAGCAAGCTGGAGGATTCAATTGCTTAGCTGTATTCAAAAAGTTGCCCTGAGTATTTTTTTCTCCTTTTTCTAAATTTGAAAGATGTGTGAGCACCTCAAGTCTTAGTTAAAATTGCCAAAAAGCAGAAATGTTCAATACCACATTTATCAGTTTCTCAAATGAGTACTGTTTCACATTTCTGAAGTTGAAAGTGCATTTTCCTAACCTCTGCTATCTTCATCAACCAAGTACTGTATTTGTGTATATAAACAACATCCTCTGACTTCAGCTCTCCCACTTCCCACAATCTTCTTGTCTTTCCTTCAATAAAATAAGCATGTTTGTCTCTGTTCAGTTCTTGACACAGAAAACGTGGAGCAGAAAGACTACGGTGAAGCTGACATGGTCAAACGTCTGTTAGCTGAGGTATGCTTGTCTCTGTCATGCTGTGTTAATGCAGTTGAGGGAGTGTATTTGAGGGAGGGTTTTATTCAGCTGCTGACTATTTTGATTCAGTTATCTTCAAGAGCTGCTTATCAAACACGTGAGTAATGAGAAGCTGCCCATTTGCTTGCACCACCTGAGAAACAAAATGTAACAAAATTATGGGCATCCATGAAGCCAGTGAGTATAAGAAACAGCTTTCTTCTGATTTCCTGTTGCTCCTCTGCTTCTACCCTTTCACCACTGTTTAAGCTGAGCAGTCTGTTCTGGAGAAGGTGTCACTGGGAAGGCCAGAGGCCTAAGTGTGATATTTGTGTGTGTATGAGGCAGAGCCCATGTAAACATTGTACTCAGCACAAAACCCAAAACTGACCTAGGTCTGGTGCTTTCCTCTCCTGTTACTGCAAATGGCTGTGGGGAATAGAATATGCTCTATCAAAAAACACAATTATGGATGTGTTCTGGATCCAATTGAGGAAGCATTAGTAATTTTCTAGCAATGTTGATCCATTTGAGAATGAAGGGAGATCTCAGAGTGCTGATGCATTGAACAGTAGCTAGGAGACTCTAAAGCTACTCTGAATTTAAACCTTACACAATCAAAAGGAAACATTTTTTCTCATTTTGTGAGCAGAAAGATCGGGACCTGGAACTGGCAGCACGGATTGGACAAGCCCTCCTTAAGCGAAATCATCTGTTGATGGAGCATTTTTTTGCACTGGAAGATTTTTTTTTACAAATTTTTTTCAGAGTAAGTGTTTTTTTTTCTTTCTTTTTTTCCTTTATTCAGTTTTTTTTT